CCCCGCCTCGACGGGCTGCAAGGGGGCTCCCCCCACACCGGGAGGGGGTGCCGGCCCCCCACCTCCCACCCCATCCCCCGGCCGCGGCGGGCAGGCTCTGGGCCACCCCAGCCGGCTCCGGGCCCGCTGCCGGCGGAGGGGGGGGTGCTTGGGAGCCTGGGGCCCCCTCCGGAGCGCGTCCCCAACCCCCGGCGGCGCCCTGGCTTGGCTTCCCCCGGCGTCGGGCCTTGGAAGTCGGACGGCTGTTGTGTGCGGTGTGTGTCGGGGGTGGGGGGTGTGTGTGTGTCTCTGCGCTTGACGGTTCCTGAAGCACCAACTCCTGCAAGGGACTGATTTTGATTTCCCAGCAGCTCTGCTTTCTGGGTTACTTCCTGTCCCGTTCTTTGGTACTTATCTTTGACTTCAGCTCCCTGCAGCAGCTGCCTTGACAGGGTAGCGGTCCTGCCGTTAGTGCCCCCCCAAAACTCCTTAGTATCCCGAGAGAGTGCCCTTCTTCTCCAGTTAAGGTCCCCATTTAAATAAATAAGCCTGTCCTTCCTAATTTTTTGCAGGCTCTTCCTATTTCGACCTCCTATTGCTTTGGCGTTAACCATTTTTGTTCTCCATTTCTCTCTTTTATGCCTTTTGTGCCTCAGTTCTACTTTTATTTTTTTAGGTTTAAGCTGCCTTAAAGGAGAATTAAAAATTGCGGCTCCAAAGAACAAAGTAAGAAGAGAGAAAACGGCACACGAAAAGAACCCAGAAAGGTGGTAATTCATGTAGACTCTCAGAATCGTCCTGGGCACATGGTTTGGATGGGATTGGGGCCTCTTCTTGTGTTTTTGATGGATTTGAATAGGTAGCATTAGATTTCTTTGTTCTCTTAAAACCTACTTGCTATTGAGCTTTGAAAGTTTGAAAGCTCTGAAGCCCATTTGAAGTACGGTGCCTCTTCTTGTAGTGATTTGTCATTTTCTAAATTTAATCTGCAAACGTTATTTTCATTATGAATTGCTGCTTTATGTTTTTTTGTGTCTTTTCATCTCAGGAACGTCACTTAAAATTACTTCACTCCCACTAGTTAAAAGGGTCTTTTCTTAAAGCCGTTTCACAAATTCATGGGTGCAACACTGGATTTGTTTCTGCTCTGATTCTAAAATCTACATTTGAGTAGGTCATGGTAATTGCATTATGTTGGTTCAGTTGTACCTAACTTTTGCATGGGTGTTTGTATTGTAACGGAGCTGCAAAAATTGACACTCATTTCGTTGGACGGTGTTTGTTTTTGAGTACTTACTTTTTGGGTTGAGATCACAGAAGGAGATAATGCTGTTAGGTGCTTAGGGGGGAAAAAATGAAAGGAGTCATCAAAAACTGAATCCTGCTGGTAGGAGGAAGGTTTGGTTACAGGGAGAGAGCAGTTCATAGGGAGAATTGCTTGTTTTACGTGGTAAGATGAAGAGATGCATTCTAGAAGGAGAGAGAGTGGGGGGGTGAATGATGTCAGTCAGCTTTTTTCTGCATCCTACTGTTTGTGTGCTCCAAATAATGGAGTTTCTGCGCGTTCTTTTAATCCAAAGTCTGTCTTGAATCCATTCTAATCTGTTAAAAATACAGATGAGTTTAGGTTATTGTGGCAAATATATCCTCTATATAGGTCCCTCTGGTCTTTGTCGTGTTATCAGAGATGTCATTGACTGTACCAGAATGTTTTTTTATTGTCAGCAATAAATTACTTTTTATCATTAGTTGCAGGGGAATGAGCAGTACCTATTGCCAACAGTCTTGGTCAAGGGGGATGATTTTTCTAATATAGGTGTCTTCAGCATATGATAAAAAGTAGCTGCGACGCATCAAAGATTAAATAGGAAATCCCCCAGTAACAAAAGTGCAACAAATTCTGAGATGTGTTTTGAAAGTACAGGGAAGAACTATCCCATGTTATTTTGATAGCATACTGCTATCAAAACCCACCAGTAATAGTGGAGCATGCCCAGGATTGCAGGAGGGATTTTTATGCTGATAGGTGAGACAGATGCACATTCCTGCAAACTTACCAGTACAGTTATGGCACACCTGTTTCATCCAAAGTTGGTTTATTGCAACACCTTCTTTACAATCCATCCGGGGCATCTAACGTCGGGGTTTGCATTGACGTAGCTACTCCAGCAGGACACCTCTCGGTGCTGATAAGATCAGATCTTTGGGATTTATTAATGGAAGGAGATGTAAGTTTTCATTTGATTTGTGAAGCCCTTTCCTAATGTGAAATGCCAGTGCAGCAAAGTTTGATTCAGATGCAGAGACTGCAATCGAGCTTGCAGGAATCAGGCAATGAACTTCTGGCAGAAATTTGCACATGGGCAAAACAAGGAAGAGAGAGAAATGATATGCTGAAGTCCTGTTCTTGATCTCTGGAAGCAATGCAGTACATTGCAAGTATAGCCCCTCAGATAAAGTTTCACATCCTTTTTTTTCTTTTTTGTCTTCAGGCTGTATGCTAGTTTTGCAGGGTTTTTTTGCCTTATTGTGTATTCTAAATCCTTAAAGAAAACATGTTCTCTGAGAGGTTGTTCTTCATTGTTCCACTATTTGCTTACAGAATGATACTATCGCAGTGAAAAACTTGCTTTATCTGCTGAAGTCATCTAGTGAATTTTGTCCACTTGGATTCTTTTAGACTATATTAAAAAGAAATACAGAGCAAATACAAGTCTTTCAGAGATTGCTGAATGAACTAAACTCTATAAGTGGCGCTCACTTTGTTCATGAGATGTGCTACGAGGATTAGAACTGAAGTAACTACTTTAATGTGGTCTGAACTGGCCATTGTTTTCTGCTTCTGTCATTCTATGAGATATTGGTGTTTGGATTCTTTAGTGATTGCGAGTCATGTTAAAATACATAAACCTCATACATTAATACGTGCTATGAGTTATTACTTTTAAGGTAGAGCTTTCATCTGACTTCTACTGGTTAAAACTTAGAAACAGCAGCGCTGTCAGTCGGAAGAGAGGTTGTATTTTCTGTTTGGTACAAGAGGATCTCCAAGTGTGCTGCAGAGCACAAGCTCCCTGCAGTTTGTCAGCGCGCATCTGGAGGGAGGAGAGTTGTGGCTGTGTGAACCTGAAGCAGCATCCTCTACTGAAAGGGATCCGTAAGGCCTTGCTTTAGCACTAGCATTGAGGTCCTTGGCATGGAAGGATTTGCAGTGTTTTCTTCACTGGGCTGTGTTTGTGACTAAGGTTGCCAACGTGAGGGTGGGAATTTTGAGGATGGTTAGTAGCTGATGCATTACCAGTGCTTTCTGAATGTGAGGTCTCTCTTCTTATGCTCTCCAGTTTGAGTTGGGTGATTTCACTAATTCTCCATCGTGCCCAAAAGTCAGACCTCACTATCTCTCTGTGAAATGGATAATAGTTGGTAAAATGATACCTCTGTACTTTAGTTTCAGCCACCTGCAGAATGTAACAACACGAGAGCTGTTCATTAGTATATAACACCACCAGTCAGCATCATACAGTGCTGTAAACACCTGGAGTTGATGGGGGATGTTTAGATTAACTCTTTTAGTTATTTTAAATTTAGTATGTCCAAGCTACAAGATGACATTACGGAAGCTCTGACGAGAAACGCGTAACTTCTAATGACCGCTTATGAAGAGTGAAGGCTTCTTTCCTTTGAAGTGGCAGTTTCTCTGTGATGTTTTGGATTCATGCACTGTTAACTCATTGCTTTCAGACCCAGCAATTCACATGTGTTGCTTGGTGATTTTCATCTCAGCCACTTGGATACCTCACTTGATGTCTGTCTGGGATGTAGCATAGAACATCTAGCAGAAAATATATTCAGGATTATAAGGCTCTGTGAAATTTTAATATTTCACATGTTATTTTCAAACTTGACGATTGTGATATAAGTATTTGCCTTACTGTCTTGTCTGAAGAGCTCCTGAAATAGGAAGCTGAGCGACATATGAAGATGATAGTTGCATTTAGTTTCTTTGTCAAACACATATTGACCATTTTTAAAATGCCACTTGAGTGAGAACACATTTAGCTTGTTTGAGTTTTGAAATGGGTGGGAGAAGTGGGTTGTGAGAATAATGAATGCTAATGTGATTATCCTTATTCCACAGGGCTTTCTCTTTTTTTTTTTTTTCTGTTTATTTGATTTAAATGTCTTGGAATACTTCAGCCACAGACAACTAGGATCTACGCTGATTAGGTCTGTGCCAGATATTGAATGCCATGTGTAATGGTACACTTTCCTTGTGGCATAGAGTTAGGCTAACATCACTAAATTATGGTCCTTATTCTGCTCTTGGATGTGTAATCTTGCAGTTTAGGAATCAGGTCTATCTCTTAGCTCATCTGAATGAGCAAAATACTGCATTATAAGGTCTGGCTTTTAGAACCAGCCTTGAACTTTCTTTAAAGTAAGTATATACATATGTCAGAATTAATTTTCCACATGATGTTTGCAGTGACTTTAGTGAAGTGACACATTGATGTAGAAAAGTCTAAGATCTCTTTGACAACGTGAGACATTATCAATAGATAATGAAGATGTTTGGTTTTTTTTTTTATTTAGTGTGCTATTTCTACCACAATTATTAGTATTTTAAGCAAACTTCGTTAACTCATTGAGTAAGTGAGCTTTACTTTCACTAAATATGACTTCTTTTTATTAAAGTTGCAGATCTTACTCTTGCCATATGCAGCTAATTTTCCTTTGGGGGGAAAAAAGCTTGTTACTTTTTTAGTGGAGCAATCTGTTACCTTGTCTGTAGTCTGTGAAGTCAGTGCAATTCTAATTTGCATCAGCTAATAAAAAATGTGTGGGTTTTAAAGTGAAAATCATGCAAAAATAAAAAAAAAAAAGGTGAACTAACGACTGATCATCTATGCAAAAAAAACAAGGCTAGAAATGTGATCAAATTAGGTCATGGCAGTGCAATTTTGTGCAGGGCTGTGAGCATATCTGCAGACCTTGTATGTTTTATCTTGGGAAGCGAAGCTCTTGGAAAATGTGCATAAGAGGGATGAAAAGAGCTTTTTTCATCCTCCTCTTCTGAGCTATTGTGAGGAATGCAAGATTTTATGTTGCATTAAGTGACAGAAGTTTTAACTGAAGCAAAAAGCTGCACAGTTCACGTAATTGCTCTGGTGCAACGCGTTTGCAGAAGAAACAAGTCACTGTTGGTTTTGTGTGACCTGCTATACAATGAAGAAATTGATGCTTTTATTATTTATTGTATTATTGCAGTGTTCACACATGATGAGGGGTCCTGTCGCAAGAAGTTGGCAGCCAAAGTGAATAAAAGGGCAGATAGACAAAGGTGTACAAAGAGTTAATGAAATAACATTGGTCAGTATGAGCTCTGTGAGAAATGGTCAAGCGTTGGGATTGATCCTGTTAACTGCAGATGATGGATAGAGGATAAGGAGGGCTAGTCTGAAGAAGGGAGCTGAGTAAGGGTTGTAACTGGAGTTCAGTAAACTTTGATACTAAAAGGACAGTTTTTATAAATGAAGAAGAGAGGGAAGATTTTTGAGGTGGTGGTATTGCTTGTATTGTGTTTGTGAAATGCAGTGTGTGTTAGTCTGATCTGTTGTGTAAGGGAGAGACGACTGTCTGGTGGAGGCAGAAGTCCACTTGAAGGACAGAGAAGTCAATGCTGTTTGTTGTCAGGTTTTATTCTTCAGATAGGGAAACTTAGATGGGATGGAGATTAAAAAAAAACCAAACTCCAACCAGAAACCCCGCAAAAATGGGTTGGGAGAACTAAATGGATCCTGAAGGGTTTTTTCTGGCTCTTGACTCCTGCAGGGAGGTGTTGGGCAGTCAGGCAGAAATACCTACTGTACCCTTTGCATCCATTCTTGTTCCTCAGCAGGAGCAGATATGCATAATCCTTAGAGTTTAGACTCTTCATTCAAGGTTTATTCAGAAGAGGAAGCGCATCTCTCGTTTCTCTTGTTTTCCCTAAAATATTCTCTGTAGCCTTTTCCTCATCTGGCAGAAGCAACCTCTCTCCACCCCAACCTCTGGAGGACTGTCTGATAATGAAGGAAAGCACACTTTAGGGCCTTTTCTGGCATAACTGCATTAAAATGTAGCATTCTAACACAGGTGCAAAGTAAAAGTAAGTAAACCTCTCACTTTTACTCTTTGCAACTAATAAGAAATATCTGTCTTTTTTTTTTTTTTTAAGGGATAGCAGGTTTTGACACGCATGGGCACACATGATTATGAATAGTGAAGACAATGAAGAGTGGGACATCCGTCAAAGAGTAACAAGGTAATTCAGGAACACATTGAATTTATCCTATTGTACTTACACAATCAATTTAGGTAGCTGTTGTTGTCCTCCATTTTCATGGCACTATACAATCATTATAGCCAAGAATGTAAAGGTACGTTTTCTGCCCCCCCCTCTGCTTCATTTAATTTTTTTACTTGCATGGAGAAAGCCAATATGTAGCAATCAAAATGCATAGTGTGTTCTGAATGAGATTGATTACACTTGCGAAACATTAAATATTAAATGCCAAATGGCTAATGACTTCCAGTAGTCCTCCCTTCATTCTCCAAAGATTGATGCTGTAAATGGGGATTTGCAAACAGGAATTTGAAATGATCTATGGAGCAGAAATGAAAATGTTTTCAAAGCCGGTGTGTACCTAGACCTATCCTGAAACCTTTAATGTTACAGTTCAGTATTCTTGTAATTTGAATTTCATTGCTTGCCATAGGGGTGAGATAGAAGAGTAGATATTTACAGGAACTGTGCAAGTGATAAAGGGAGCTGCTTATGCCTGACTTTGTCTTCTGCTTTGTATGTTTTAGTACTTATGTACTTTAGTACTAGCTAATTTGAATAAGCTCTGCTAGTCACATGCAACATATGGGGCCGGTGCCAACTTTTTATAATGCTGCATTACAAATATACCCACCAGCTGAGAAGTGTGATATAAGGCACTTTGCTTTTTCTTAACCAACTGTCTTCATAGATATTTGCTGGGGGGATACTGCTGTCCCCTTAAATGAGAATTCCCATTTCTCCTCATCTCTTTAGTCACCCTATCTTTCTGTAACATTTTTGAGCAACTAGTTTGACCTTAATTTTCAGATTTTCAGTATCACATGAGATCTTGCAAGTATTAGCCCTTTACTAGAAAGGACTGTAAAAATGGCAGTAGAAAGTTTGTTTATATTAACTTTTGGTCAGATATTCTCAGATTGAGAGAAAAGTTTTCATATCTTATTTTCATACACATTCAGAAAATAGAGCTAAATGGGCACACTGATTTTATTGGGGTTTTTTTAAGGATCTCCCCCTGGCTCATACTTACCATCAGTCAGGGCTTACTACCAGTTTTCCAAAGAAAGACCTTGTTCATGTAGTTGGAATTTCATTAACAGTACTATTAATGGTGTGATCCAGAATGAAGTCAAGCTCGCTGTCTTACAGGTGAGCGTGTTCCAAAGTACTAATTGGAGTTTAGAAAAGAGCTTAGCAAAAGCTTATTAGACTCAATAGAAATACTTCCATTGTCATCAGATTAACCAAGTTTGATTTTGGAATATGCTGCAAAAGCTGAACCATTGAGTTAGCAGTTGCTGGCTTGTAAATCCCCTTTTCTTCCTGTGTCAGATAATAGAGTTCAAACTATAAAACAAAACAAAGCCAGTACCTAAGCTGTGTATAACCTATTGAGCTAAAAAGTCTTCTTTCCTAACCCTACGCTGAAATAGTGATTGTTGCCAGACATGGTAAGTTGAAGCATTTACAAATGTCAAAGACAGGCATTTGCTGTATGTAATTTCCATATTTGCAATGTAAGTAGGGTCACTGTAGATACCTGTTAATTGTGAGTTTATATCTCTCCAAGAAGCAGATAAATAACTTCTTTGCAATGGGCATGACTAGATTATAGATGAGTGAATATGCCTTTATCTGGAAAGATGGCAGAGAGTGATGTTTTCACTTTTGTCTGTGTATATATGTGGATCACAGGAAAACAAGTGCCCAGTGGGATACAGGGAGTTGATTGCAATGTCTTTTCAATGACCTAAGAATCACGAGGCTCTGCAAATCCTTATGATATTTACGTAAAAGAAGGTTTAGGTGATGATGTGGTTTGGCATCCTAATAAAGTGCTGTAAATTTTAAGTTTTGCTTGAAATTAATTTTTGTCTTAGAACGTTTCCTTGTGCTTTAATCATGATTAACTTTACAGGAGTCTAAATACATTTTTCTTTCTCCTTTTTATCTTCTAGTTCTGTGTTAATACCCACTGCAATAGTATTTTAATATTTTGGGGGATTCCTATTGCTCAGCATTGCCTTTCTAATAGCCTGCTTTTATTCTCTTTCTTCTGATATTTCTTTCCATTTTAGGAATGCCTGTTAATGGGATATGATGCACAATGTATGTGAAAATGTAAATGCTTAACAGAATTTGCGCACTGTGGAAGAATCTCTAAATACCTGTGTTTTTTCTCTCATCCCCAGCTGGGTAGCAACTAGTACTGCAGATGAATACTTTACAAACAGAGCATGGAGTATAGTACTTATTTTTTTCCCAATGTATGCTTATATCTAGGCTTTTTTACAGTGGCTATTTTAGATAGCCTTTTGGCCCAGCTCTCTCACATCCTTGTAAATTACCTGTATCGAGGTAATTATAAATTTAATTGTTCTGGGGTGTGTTCTTACGGTGTTTAACAGGGCTATATTAACTGCACTTACATGTTTTTAGGTCTTGTATATTGTCAGCTTTGTGTTTGATTTTTTTGGAATATAGAGGTTCTCTGCAATCTTTACATACTGATAAAGAAGTCCATGAGCCAAAATACAGACAGTAGACTAATTTAAAAACAAAAAAGGGAGAAAAAGAAAAAAGAAAACTAAACTTTTCAGTTTGAACATTAGCGTTACTACTATTCATGTGCAGTATGTCACAGGAATAGATTATATTAGTAAGATGAAAATATTTTCACTGGAGCTTAGAGGTGATAAATTTCTAGGAAAAAAACCAGTACAGTTCAGTTCCTCTAGCAATGTAGTGATGTTTCATGCAACAGTTTAGATGTCTATTTAACCAGTATCTCTGGAGTTAGTGTACTAACTGTGTTGTGATGTTGGGTTCTGGAGATTTTTTCATTTTGCTTATTGCTCAGATGCTTTAATTGTGGACTGTTGTTTGATACTGTCATTTCTGACGAAAATGTTTACTATTTATAATCTGTAAGTGTCCTTTTCTTTTGCAGTTCAGTGATGTGAACCATGTCCTATGATTTTGCTAGCAACAGTGAGATCATTTGGGTTTTTTTATCCTATGTATAAGATGACTTTGCTCTGCATACAGAGAGTAAATTGTAGGATTGCTTTTCATTAAAGTCATAGAATCGTTTTGGTTGGAAGAGACCTCTAAGATCATCAAGTCCAACCATTAGCCCAGCACTGCTGAGTTACCACCAAACCCTCAGCACCACCTCTACAGGTCTTTTAAATACCTGGTGACTCAACCACTTCCCTGGGCAGCATGTTCCAATGCTTGATAACCCTGCCAGTGAAGAATTTTTCCTGATATCCAATCTAAACCTCCCCTGGCACAACTTAAGGCCATTTCCTCTTGTCCTATCACCTGTTACTTGGGAGAAGAGACTGACCCCTACCTCCCTACAACCTCTGTTAGTTGTAGAGAGCGATAAGGTCTCCCCTCCTTTTCAGCAGGTTGAACAACCCCAGTTCCCTCAGCCGCTCCTCACAAGACTTGTTCTCCAGACCCCACACCAGCTCCATTGCCCTTCTCAGAACATGCTTCAGCATCTTAATGTCTTTCTTGTAGTGAGGGTCCCAAAACTGGACACAGCACTTGAGGTGGGGCCTCACCAGTGCCGAGTACTGGGGAACAATCACTTCCCTAGTCCTGCTGGACACACTATTTCTGATACATGTCAGGGTGCTGTTGGCCTTCTTGGTCACCTGGGCAACTGCTGGCTTGTGTTCAGCCAACATTACTTGGGAGAAGAGACTGACCCCTACCTCCCTACAACCTCTGTTAGTTGTAGAGAGCGATAAGGTCTCCCCTCCTTTTCAGCAGGTTGAACAACCCCAGTTCCCTCAGCCGCTCCTCACAAGACTTGTTCTCCAGACCCCACACCAGCTCCATTGCCCTTCTCAGAACATGCTTCAGCATCTTAATGTCTTTCTTGTAGTGAGGGTCCCAAAACTGGACACAGCACTTGAGGTGGGGCCTCACCAGTGCCGAGTACTGGGGAACAATCACTTCCCTAGTCCTGCTGGACACACTATTTCTGATACATGTCAGGGTGCTGTTGGCCTTCTTGGTCACCTGGGCAACTGCTGGCTTGTGTTCAGCCAACAGTCAACCAATACTCCCAGGTCCTTTTCTGCAGAGAGTAGAGAGCGATAAGGTCTCCCCTCCTTTTCAGCAGGTTGAACAACCCCAGTTCCCTCAGCCGCTCCTCACAAGACTTGTTCTCCAGACCCCACACCAGCTCCATTGCCCTTCTCAGAACATGCTTCAGCATCTTAATGTCTTTCTTGTAGTGAGGGTCCCAAAACTGGACACAGCACTTGAGGTGGGGCCTCACCAGTGCCGAGTACTGGGGAACAATCACTTCCCTAGTCCTGCTGGACACACTATTTCTGATACATGTCAGGGTGCTGTTGGCCTTCTTGGTCACCTGGGCAACTGCTGGCTTGTGTTCAGCCAACAGTCAACCAATACTCCCAGGTCCTTTTCTGCAGAGAAGCTTTCCAGCCACTCTTCCTCAAGCCTGTAGCACTCCATGGGGTTCTTATGTCTCCTCACAAGACTTGTTCTCCAGACCCCACACCAGCTCCATTGCCCTTCTCAGAACATGCTTCAGCATCTTAATGTCTTTCTTGTAGTGAGGGTCCCAAAACTGGACACAGCACTTGAGGTGGGGCCTCACCAGTGCCGAGTACTGGGGAACAATCACTTCCCTAGTCCTGCTGGACACACTATTTCTGATACATGTCAGGGTGCTGTTGGCCTTCTTGGTCACCTGGGCAACTGCTGGCTTGTGTTCAGCCAACAGTCAACCAATACTCCCAGGTCCTTTTCTGCAGAGAAGCTTTCCAGCCACTCTTCCTCAAGCCTGTAGCACTCCATGGGGTTCTTATGTCCCAAGTGCGGGACCCAGCACTTGGCCTTGTTGAACCTCACGCCATTGGCCTTGGCCCAGCCTGTTAAGATCCCTCTGTAGAGCCTTCCTACACTCAGACAGATCAACACTCCTGCCTAACTTGGTGTTGTCTGCAGACTTACTGAGGATGCACTCAATTCCCTCGTCCAGATCGTTGATAAAGATATTAAAGGGAACAGGCCCCAATACTGAGCCCTGGGGAACACCACTTGTGACTGGCTGCCAACTGGATTTAACTTCATTCACCACAGCTCTTTGGGCCTGGCCATCCAGCCAGATTTTTGCCCAACAAAGAGTACACCCATCCAAGCCACGAGCAGCCAGTTTCTCCAATAGTACTGACTTTTTTGTTCTAGATCCTGGTCCCAATCCTAATTTATTCATGGTTTATATTGATTCAAGGTGACTAGTGTGACCTCATGACGCTTCTGTAAAAGCCAGATTCAGCTAGGATGTTACACCATCACTGTCGGAGAAACCCTGAACTACAGGAAGAGTTGCAGATTCAGGCTGCAGTTGCTGCTGGCGATGTCCACACCGTGCGCAAGATGCTGGAGCAAGGATATTCTCCAAATGGTCGAGATGCCAATGGCTGGACCTTGCTTCATTTCTCTGCAGCAAGAGGGAAAGAGAGATGTGTCCGTGTTTTTCTTGAACATGGAGGTGAGTTGCCTGGAGAGAAAAATCTTGATACCCATCTCACAGCTTTCTATCCCAATTTCCATTGTAGGGCTTTCCAGCACTGGTTAAATATAATAATACTTCTGATTTTTTTATTTTTTTTTTTCTTTCTTTGGAGTAGTGATTCATCTCTTTTTCGTTCTGGTGCATACTTGGTGAATGAGGTAATAAATTAGCTCTATATCTTTAATACCTTCCTACTTTTGGGGAGGGGTTGTTGGTTTTGGTTGGGGTTTTTTTTCCAGAATTGTCTAGGAATTGTTAAAAGAATGAATAAGCATTATGAAAATGGGGCAGAAGGGCTCATTAACTGCACTCAGCAGTCACTATAAGTGAGTGCTTTTATTCTCTGTTTGGCAGTATTATTAGAGGAAGGCAGGTTCTTGAGTTGAAATCCTAGGGAAGTTTATTTCCTTATTCTCAAGCAAGTCAACAAGTCACATTAAAGACTAAGTTTCTGTATGGGCTTTAACACAATCTGCTAAACTTTATGAAAATAGTACTTTTTGTGCAAGTACTTTATTGTCAGCTAGTCCAGTTGAGTTTATACTTCTCCTGTTTCCATCTGTAGCAAAGCTTTATTTCAAGAACTGTCTTGTCGATTGAAGTGACACATTTGCTTGGGTGATGACTGTCACCCCCCAAACGGTGCAGTCAGAATTTCTTTTTGCTATAGTTTCATGGCCATCTAAAGTGTTAGAAATGGATAGACTTAATCTTTTAATGTGTTACAGTATATGTTCTCCTCATTCTGAGTAGTGCTCTTAAAAGAATAGCATCCTGTATTGTAGCACTGTTCTTATCACAAATGAACTATGAGCTAAGATGCTTCCAGTCCCAAGGAAACTGAAATTATCTTTTTGATACTTTACATACCTGTGGCCATATGGGCCCCTTATGTGTATCACAGTATTTGTCAGATGTATGGATCATCCTTAAAATTAAAAGGCATTAATAGTTTATGGTATTTGCACAATCAGCGGTATGTTCCTTACGAGGAATAGTGAAATACAGCCTTAATAACTGGGCCCCATTGATATACCTACTATGGATTCTAGCCATGTAATATTGGCAGCCCCTCATGTCCTTATTGGAAGCAGGGGGAAAGCTACTGAATTGCTCTAATAAATAACTTTAAATTCTACTTTTTAAATGTAAAGGCTTGAGATTATCCACATATATTAGTTTGATAATTGAAAATTTTTAGGCTGTAAGTCTTGAAATATGTTGGGTTTAGCTCTGCAAACTTGAAAATGATCTGAAAAAAAACCCAACAACGACCCTTACGTATTCCTATGTATTTTCATTGTATATGTTTTGGTATTAAATAGCTGCTGATGCAGTGTTTGCTTTTTATTTTTGTTCTTACTCTTTCCTATATGAAGTACCATCTGAATCTGTTGCCTTATGAAAACTGGCTGTAATGCCTGGAAGCAGTATAGCGTTTAATCACCAGGACTAGAAAGTTGAGTAACAAATAGTGTGAGGGTTAGTCATCTACAGCAGCTTTCCTGTAGCTGTGCCTCCCTTCAGAACATTGGCACTGTTTTGTGCCTTGCCTTGTTTTCCCTCAAAACAGAGGCATAAAAGATAATGAGTATTTAAAACATAATAATGTCACAAATGAGCTATTAAGCAATGAACGAGCTGACTTAAAAGCTGAGTTAATCATGCCTGCCTCATTAGTGAGAGGTTTGTGTCTACCTTTCTTCACACAGTCTCCGCCTTCCTCCCTCTGAAGAAGTAGATTATTTTGGTGTTGGAGCTTAATCCCTGTGGACCAAAATGGTACTGGAGTGAAAGAAAAAGTCATTTTCTGGTGTGAATTTTATGGTAAAAAGAGAGTTTCGAACAGGGAGTTGAGTATTGAATATGTAGTCAATATATTAGTAATAAAGATGATGGTGAGAGGGAGTGGATGGCGTTCTGGAGGGACGACAGAAATGAGATGTTAGTGGGAAAGAAGGGGCAAGTGGTGGTAGTTGTGGTTGTCTAGATGAAGTTTAGGAGAGCTGGAAATATTTTCATAGAATGAGGAAACAGCACTGGGCTCCTCCTGAGGATAGAGTGCTGGAAGACTACTGAGTAGTCCTGAATAGTAGTAGGATGGGGATGAGTTTGGCTCATAGAGGCTGAGAAGGAATTTGGTCACTGACCTGGAAGTAAAAGGTAGCTTCTTATGGGAGTCATGACCTGGCCGCCTCTTGCTTTTGCTCTTTTTCTTCTCTTCCATCATTGCTCACCAGCAAAGAAAAGAGCCACGGGACAGCGTTGTGTGTGCAGATTGGCTGGTTTAAGTGGAGGTGGTGGAATAGGAGGAAGCTTTTGATTATCTGCTGAGCAAGGAGACATGGATAGATGGGGAAAATGCATAAGAAGCCAGTCCAGACTAGAGGGTGACACCAGCAAAAATACCAACTGGATACAAAGGTAGCAGTAGGTCAGGTAATAAATATTCTTTAGCAGAAAGTTGATCAGAACCGTGGAGAACCTTAGTTCTCATGAAAAATAGTGAATTTTACCTTCTTAGTGTGTTTGTCTCATTTCAATAAAGTGAAGAGTCTATGAAGCTACCTCTTCTCATGAAAAATAGTGAATTTTACCTTCTTAGTGTATTTGTCTCATTTCAATAAAGTGAAGACTCTATGAATCCAGCTCTTTCTGTTCATGGAAACAATCTAGAGTCACAAAGCTCAACAGGAGAGCAACACAAAAATAGCAAGTGTAGTTTTCAGTAATCTTGCATTTTTGCATACAGTGTCTTTTTGCTCCCTTTAGTTTACTTTTTTAAAATTTATTTTCAAAATGACATATTGAGACAGACAGTCTAACACTGGACAAGAACTATGTTTTATTGATCCATAACCACCAATATTAAAACCAGCTAAAGTTCTGAAAGCATGTAATTGTTACCTGTCCCTTAGCGATAACTTCTCAGTACTAATTGAGCACATAACCACCAATATTAAAACCAGCTAAAGTCCTGAAAGCATGTAGTTGTTAGCTGTCCCTTAGCGATAACTTCTCAGTACGAATTGAGCGGGACAGTTTCTGGTTACTTGTATTAAAGTGAATAAATTATTTATTGGATCTCCTAAAAATTGTAGAGTAGCAGAAGAAAGTAGCCAAACAGATGTATTTATTTATTTTTCATCTTGGCTGCAAGGTATCTAAATTTCTGTAAAGTCATGGAGAATCTGGGAGAAACCAGAGAATGCCAAATGCTCATCCCCCTAAACCAGCTCATCAAGTGTTTGTGTGTCTGGACAGTAATGCTCTCCTGGAGGTCTTTTGTATCAATGTTGTCCTAGAAAATTCAAAACAGAAGCTATGTGTAGCCACGTTTCTAAACCTTGTGATCAGAATTAAGCCCTAGTTGGAGGAGGTAAGCTTGAAATAATAGAAGTACTTTATGAAGCCAGAAGAAGCGTTGCTTTCTTGGCTTCCCAAATTAGACTGTGATAGAATAACCTAATGAAGGTGTCATGAAAGAAGGGAAACTGTCCCACTGAGCTGTAAATTGAAACTCTAAAATAACTGGACTCTTGTTTAGGAATCTATGTGTCCTCTAGATTACAGTATTAGAAAGGAGTTTAAGAGTAGAGTTTAAATGACTAGTTTAGGTGCCCAACTTCAGTAAGAAGTGAACTAACCTGAATATCATTCAGTGTTGCAAATTTTCAGTCTGATGAGATTGACTGCAGTAATTTGGTACCCTTGATAAGCAGTTAAAGGGTTATGCCACTGTCTTGTGCCTTATATTTAAGAACATAAGAAGTGACCAGATGCAGCTGTTTCTATTTCTAGATTCTGCTATTCCCAAATTAATGGGAAGCTTGAGAAGAAATTACTGTAATTGCTTGACAATCAGGTTGGCAGCAAGAAAAAAATGCTGGCAAGTGCTGGCTTCATCCCTTCTGAGTTAAATAAGTTTGTACTAGGTACTTTTTTTTTTTTTACCCCCCTGCAGATTCTGAATTCACTTCTACCTTGTGTTCCAGGGGCAGACAGCTTCTTTACAGCATGATCCAATACCGAAGCCTTTTAAAAAACAAATAAAATAACGCACAAAAAGCCAAGTTCTTAAGGAAAGATCGGTTTTTGCAGCATTGCTTTTCCTAACACAGGGACTGAATGGATGGGAGTTTTAAGTCTTAAGGTAACGCAGGTCCGACTTCTGCGAAAAGCCCTTGTGAAGTTCCAAAGTTGTCCAGGAGGTGGCAGCAAAACATTGAATGAATAGCAACTGAGGAAGTTTTGGTCTCGTTAAAATTGTTTCCCTGGTCAAGGGGAAGATTTGTACGACTACCTCGCTACAAACCCCTAATCTTAATGGAAATTGGAATAATTTTATCATGAGGTTTTGCTACCGGATTTACTTTTGGAAGGTTGGTTGTTTGTGTTGCTTGGTTGCCCAACCTAAAGGCTTTTTTTCCCCTATTGTTGAGATATTTTCTCTTACGTGACTTGGTATTTTTTTGGTTCACTTCAGTGATCAAGAGCAATGAAATTTTGGGAGGAGGGAAGGCGTAGAAAGTTACTTAAAACCATAGGTAAAGGGCATCCTTGTGTTGCAAGTGAATTGTTTGGTTTGGATTACAGCAACTTGGATAAAAATGCATATACATGCACACACAAAAGCTGGGGCATATCTGATTGAATTTGGAAATAGCGTAGACTAAACAAGCTGGTGGCAGTATCCTGCACCTCACTTGGGGGGTAGAAGTGATTGACTTGTGTGCCCTGTGCAGTGTGGAAGAGAGAAGGCAAAGCATGAATTTATAATAATTTTTTTTTTTAAATTCTTTTTGTGAAAAACAGCCCTGGCTGCTGCTGTCTCCTTTCTATTATGTCCATCTCTCTCCTTAATTCTGCCTCTCAGAAAGTATCATCCCTCTGCATCTTAATTCTCATGTTTATGCTGATCAATTTATTTATCAACAGTCAGGAGATACTTTACAATATTATCTTCTAGAATATAGAATACAATAGAATATAGAATAGTTTGAGCAGTGCAAAGAAAGAGATCCTGGGAGCGGTGAAAATCACTTTGAAATAGTATCTTTGTCTTCAATGACTCTGTGGGTTGTACTGATTCTTTGCAGTATTTTGGACATCTCATGGTAGTGCAGGTTAGGAACCACCTATTCAGTCACAGCTTTCATTTTCCTGCCAACCTGTGGATGCTTCAGCGATTACTTTAACTCAGGTTAGTGTAACTTTACAGAGTGCTGAAACTTCTGCTTTCACAGGAGACTAGGATGGCTGTCACTATGAAGGGACTGAACTTTCCTTAATCTTTCTCTTGTTATTTCTAGGTTCCTGTTCTGTACACTAGAGGCAATTCTCATGTTTTATTTCTCTGTACAGTCAGGCTGCATTAGTTTGTATGTTTGATTTTTTTTGTTTGTTTGTTTTCATCCCCTCACTCTTCACTTTAAATGTAAAAAAAGTCTTTAAAGTTGCTGGATCACCTTTGCAGCTGTATTCTGTACTCTTTCTTGCCAATCTTTTTATTTGGGGTATTATATTTTGGTATGATACCTATTTCTTTGTGTTATCTGGGTATAGTCACAGTAGGTCCATATTGGGAAGCTCATTCCTGTTGTTTTGTGTTAGCACTTCTGTGTGTTAAGATGTGTTCAGACTAAACTAGCTTGCAATTTATATTGTATGGTGAACTTAAATTATAGTAGGTCTGAATTTTGAGATGCAAATTCCCACCTTTGTCCCCTGTTTGAGTGTTGTGGCAACTGAGCAGAAAACTGCCCTTTCTGTGTGGTACAGGAGAGCAAGCACTTCTCTTGAGCAATGTGTGTGAGCGTTGGGTGTTTGTAGCCTTCAGACAAGTTTGTTTTAAACCTGCATGGTCACAATATCCTTTTTTTCTTGTTTTATTTTTCTTTCTTTTTTTCCCCTCCAGACCACTGCTACTTTCCTTCTAAACGCAGTATGTATAGATGAGGAAATTAAAAAGTATTCAATGTGCAGGGCTGCCAAGGTTATGGAAGGTGGGCAGACACCCTTCTGTTTGTCTGCACTTGATGATGTGCTTTGTGCTCAAATGTCCTGTGGTTACAGAGCAGACACTGCCACAAGCAGCTGTGAAGGACAGACCCCAGCAGTTGTTTCAGTAGATACACAGGAGTACTGAAAACATGACAACTTAAGGCTAGTGTCTTGTGCAGATAGTATCTCTCGTTACCAGCCAGGAGACTTAGGTTAGGAAAGTGCCTCAAAACTTCCAAACTGTAGTTTGTGCCTTTTAACATCCGACAGGCGACATCTCCGGATGGTGGAAGGAGAAACCTCGCAGCCTGGCTTGTTCTGTAAATGGTAACGAGGCAAGCGCCTTTCCTTTTAGTAATTAATTTGGTACACGGTAATAATCACTTGCTTTAGAAGTCTGGGTGTATTGAGCAATTTAGGAAAATCGGTTTGCTTATTTTAATTTTTAAATTCGTCAATCAGACTGAGTTTTTGTGCTGTGTTAGGGGGGGAAAATAGAATCTGTGTAATCACTTGTACGCTGCACTAACATTTTTCCTGACTCCTTCCATAAGTGGATGCTTACATTCTTGTAAAATCTTAAATTTTTGTAAAACTATAAATTCAGAACAGATTCATCATCTTTAAAAACAGACTTTATCAAGATAATCTAAAATAACATATATCCTACATGCTTTGGAAATCCTGCAGACCACAGAGAAACATTTTACCTAATACAGTATTACACCCTAAAAACAATACAGTCCTGCCAGACCACAAAACATCCGCAGTTTGGGACAGCAGATGTTTCTACACATGCTTCTTTTTAAGACCAAGATGCAACACAAGGGAAAATAAAAAAGTTGAACATTGAGAAAGAAATGTAATATTGTAGAGCTGGAGGAAAACTGGATGGACAGAGAGATTTGAGTAATTAGCCTAAGAGTGCTAGGAAGATGTGGAAAACTATTTGTCAAATGGAAACACATGTATATGAAAGAAAAAGTCTTTTTTTTGTGTGTGACTTTCTTAAATATACTTTTAGCTTTTTCTTAAAAATGGCATGTTCATGAAAGCAAGAATTAGTTTGAAGTACAAAAAACCCTGTCATGCTATGCCTGAGAAGACTAACATTCAACCATTTGATTTTTTTTTAATTTTTTTATTTTTTTTTTTTTGTGCAGCACTGGATTACTGTAATGCCTTCTAATTATTTTCCAATTTTATTTTAACTTCAGCTGATCCCACAGTTAAGGACTTAATTGGAGGCTTCACTGCTCTGCATTACGCAGCCATGCATGGCCGAGCGAGGATCGCGCGCTTGATGTTGGAATCTGAATATAGAAGTGACATTATTAATGCAAAAAGCAACGATGGTTGGACTCCCCTCCATGTAGCAGCCCACTATGGCCGAGACTCCTTTGTCAGGCTCCTCTTGGAGTTCAAGGCTGAGGTTGATCCGCTCAGCGATAAAGGTACTACGCCGCTTCAGCTGGCCATTATCCGGGAGAGGTCAAGCTGTGTGAAAATCCTCCTGGATCACAATGCCAACATCGACATTCAAAATGGTTTCCTGTTACGATACGCTGTGATCAAAAGCAATCACTCTTACTGCCGAATGTTCCTTCAGAGAGGGGCGGATACAAACTTGGGTCGCTTGGAAGACGGACAGACGCCCTTACACTTGTCTGCTCTTAGAGATGATGTGCTTTGTGCACAAATGTTGTATAATTACGGAGCAGACACTAACACAAGGAACTATGAAGGACAGACCCCACTGGCTGTTTCAATAAGTATTTCTGGAAGTAGCCGACCCTGTCTGGATTTCTTACAAGAAGTGACAAGTATGTATGTAAGAGAAGTTAATCACAGGACGCAGTGTCCTCTAAAAGCCTTCTTTGAATTTAGCCCCCAGAAAAAAAAAAAAAAAAAAAATTGCTTCCTCTCTGCCCCTTGATGCTATTTAAATGCACTAGAAAATTTCTGGGAAGGTGAAGGGATTGTGATACTGGGAATCCCTTACTCAGCAAAGGTGCTAATGTTAAGTGTATTTCATTTAAATTAGTTTTGTTTAAGTATCTACAGGAAGCAGTAATTTTTAAGAAGTCAACTGTAAAATCTCATTTTTTTTAATGGCCTTAGCACATAAGATGTTTGAGGTTTGGGGTTTTGTTGTTTGGATTTTTTTTTTACGTCTTTTTTTTTTTTTTTTTTTTTTTTTTAAATCATCATGCAAATACTCTGCAGTTGCTGGCGCTACGACTAGGGCAGAAAAGAGGTTTTTTTGCTTCTTTGTGTTCTCCCCCATTCTCTCCCCTGCTCTCCCCTGCACCAGACAACAAAACGGCATAGTTTTTTTTCAACTTGAAGGGGTTTCATGTGCTGTGTAGCTTTGATTTGATTTTGTTGATGTCTTTGAAATATGAAAGAGATTTTAACTCATCGTGACTTCTGGTATTTCAAAAGAGTATTAGGCTCGTAATATTCTGGTCACTTTTGATTATCAGGTTTTGGTGTATTAGATCTACTGAAAGTTTTCTTTTCCTCTGTCGTTCACCATGCAATGCTATAATAGTGTTTTGTAATTACAGTATTGCCTAAAGCGTTTAGGAATTGCTGATAAGTAATTACCAGGAGTTTGCTAATTCAAACATGTAAAGATGGCCTGATAAATTATCATCCTACAAGGATGATCTCTGCACTGCTGAGGACAGGGTATTTCATATATGCTTTTTCCCCTACAGAGCCTTTTTTTTTTTTAAATGTGGTGGTTTTTAATGAAAATTAAGCACCCCTTATACTCTGTAAAGAAACTGAAGTTTATTGAGGACTGGGGGTGAATCAGCTGAGATCCGTTGTCAGTAGCTGACACAAAGAAGCACTTGGAATTTAATTTCTGTCTTCATGGTTTGTGATGTTATTTTTGCTTTTATCTGAAATCTAAAGAGTATTTTTTGAAAGGTAGACATTGGTAGTAAGAAATACAAGCAACTAATAGATTTTTAATTCGCCTGCCCCTTCTAATTCAAACACTTTTCTTTCTGGTTTCCTTTTTGGAAGCCTCTTACTATATATGAACACCATAAGGGTTATTAGTAGATGATACAATATCCAGACTTGCAGTTTTTCACAGGCTTAGGATGTGTCCGTAGGTACGAAGGCTGAGACTGGTTTGGGGTTTCTTCAGTGTCTAAAGACTAATTCAGCAAGTTGGAAACTGGTACTGTAAATTACTTTTTGGTTGCAGATTCCATACCTTAAGGGTTTAATGTTAATTGAGAAGTAAATTCTGCTACAGAAAAGTAGCTTAAATTTGTGGCTAATATAAGTGTTGGAACTATCCCAGTTTTATGCTGATGGAGGGAGAAGTGGGGAAGCAGGGAGGGCTAGTGCTGACAGAAACACTTCAGCTTTGTACTGCAGAGCAAAATTATAATGAATATATGTTTACAAACAGCTATAAACAGACTCTGCTGCCCTTATCATAACTATCCAAACACTGTCTTCCATGGTTTTCATGAATAATCACTTTAATAAGATGGTGTAGGAGAGATGAAATGGATAAAGAGAGAGCTGGGATTTTGGTAGCGGAGTTCCCAATTAGATCAGACTCTGTACAGGGAATTGTTGAGATCTTATGCTGTAGCACTTCGGAGAAGAATCTTGTTTATTGTCTATTGCAATTTATATTTACTAGAAGAAAAATTTACAAAATTTTTAGAGAATTCTTCTTGTGGAAGCCTTCCTGAAATTACCTCTTGTGGTTGGTAACAGTGCCTTGGTCATAGGGCTTAACAGGAATTTCTAGTTTGCTTATTTGCACATTTTACCAAGTACTTAATATAGAAATCCATAGCTGTAAATTTCATATGTGCATCCAAAGTTCTGAAGAGTATATTTGATATTAAAACCGGAATTAACTTTTACTTGTGCAGTAGATTAAAAAAATTAAACTTAAAGATTAATATAGTTGAATTAGGAAAATTATCAAACCGATTTGTGCCTTCAAGTGAAAGGAGTTGCATGCTTCATATAAATGGGATACTCTTTAGCAGTTTACAAGTAAGTAGCTTTTTTTTTTTTGTAATATTTGGAAAACATATTTGTACATTTTCAGTTCTTCAGAAAACATCATATGTGAATTTCTTTTTGTTTTGGTAGGTATTGTAATCGGTAATAATCGCAGCCTTTAGCCCAGGTCCCCGGTTGTGAATAACAGGCAAGAAACCAACTCTCAGAAATACTCAGTATTGGCCCTGAGAGTCTGCAAGAAGATATTGGATTTTGGGGTTTGACCCTGAAGGTCTGATATTCTTCCTGGTTACAGGTAGAGATTCCTTTGCTCCTAGAATAATTCCAAGAGGAAGTTATTCTCTGGTTGTGTCTCACTATTTAAGCACGAAGCTGGAAGTTAGGAACAACAAAGTTTTTTATTGCGAGTCTGCCGTTGACTTGGTGTTTAGACAGTCACTCGTGTCTTTTTCCTTTTAGTTTGTTCCTTCTTTTTTTTTTCCTTCCTCCTTTCTTTTTTACAATACAAAAATAAGTAAAGTCTACCAGTGAAAAAATTTTGAAGGTGAAAGTTGCCCCAAAGATTTTATTGATCACCTTCGATTTCCGTACATGTATTACACTTCCCTACTCCAAAAAACATTTATTGGTAACCACCCTGGTATCTGAAATAGTCTGATAAAGAGCTGTTTTGTAGCACTGCAGTATAATGCTTCAGTTTTATGAGATCTGAACTTCTCTTCAGGACTGTTAATGGTTAGGCTTGGAATACACTAATGCAAAATTACGAGAGGTACGTGTATATAATATATATGAAGATAGTTACATGCAGACATTTATTTATATTTTTTTTTTAGTAGTCTATATGTCTACAGAATTAAATGTGCAATTACAGTCCTGGATGGAATGATTATGTTGAAGGTGAAGTTAAATAGAATTTGAGAATATTAAAACATATAAAGAGAATGCTGGAGGCAGGAAAAATCGCAAGTATTAGAAAAACACTGAAACGTTTAAAGAAACTTTTAAGTTACTAGCAATTCAATTATGATCTCAAAAAGGGGGATAAAAAAGTTCCAACCCTTCCCCCTCCTCATAGCTCCCATTTAATTTAATCACTGTTCAGATAATGTTGCGGAGCAGAGAGTCTATGAGGAGCTCTGCGAGTTGCTTGTCTGTGTCGAGGCAAATAGTGGAGTAAATGGATACGGCCACAGCAGTGTCATCTGGCATGTATGTTAACAGGTATCAAAGAACTAATTCCAGATCTGGAACAAGATCTAAAGGTCACCAAATGAATTAAACTACAAATATTTCATCTGCATTCCTTTTTTTTTTTTTTTTTTTAAAAACTTTTCAAAGGGCAAATCTTTGTGTTTAGATTTACATAGCACTGTAAATGTGCAGAAAAAATTAGACAAAAGTTCTGTTAAGGTAATCCTTATACATTCTTCATCTCTATTCCTTTGCTAAATAAAGATAACTTTTCAGTAGGACTTTTTTTTTTTTCTTCTTCTTTTACTGGAAGAACGTTTTAGAAAGGGTCTCTGCATAGTTTTAACTTTTATGAATACGGAAATGTCATAGTGAATTAAGTAGAATTCGACATATTTTAGTACGTGGATAATTGCAAAGGAAACAGTATCTTCATGTTTGTTGTAACATAGAAGAACTTTACTGGAATTGCAAGCTCTGTCAGCTTCCTTGGGTGTCTTGCCCTAATGACTGTGGGCTGCTTTGTCATCCAGAGTTATGCAGGGAACTGGGGCAAGAGGCTTATTTTATAGTTTTCATTTTATCTGACTCAGCGATAAACAAATACCGTCTGAATCACGATTGCTTTCTGCAGATTGCAGGTATCTATTTGGTAAAAACCAGTATAGTTTCTGGTACCTTTATAAAGCCATAGCCCAATTTTTCTTTTCAGTTAGAGGGAAGATACTTTTCAAATACTTGTTTAACTCTCAACTTGGAATTGCCTGGTGTGATATTGAAAAATGTAGATACGAAATCAGAGTGCAGTTGACTGTTTAGATTAAGCAGTTGAGTCATTTTTATATATCTATATACAGATGCATACTTTGGAAGAGTTTTTTTTGGAAGAGGCCTCTGTAAAAAATAAAAAACTTCTACACATGGCACGTACAGTACAGCCACCCCCCACTCCCATTTGCACACCTATGCTGTGCTCTGTTATAATGTAAAAATAGTGCAAGAATGCATCTTAAGCCTGTCTTTATGGTCAAAGCACTTAACTTACTGTCTCCTAGAAACAGATAAACATTATGGGATTGAAATTCTTAGGTGAATTTTCATAGCAATTTCAGTAAGACTGAATTTATAGAAACATTACAAAATCTTCTCCAGTTGTATTCAAATCTTAATCTCATTGCTAAATACACCTGTTATACTTTGAGCTTTACTGGCACTCTGCTTTTCCATATATAAATTTTCAGTCCAAAATACACTCCTCCTTAGTACATATTTTCCATGCCAGAAATACTGAAATTTAATAGACATCTAAAACTCATTGTGGGGAATTATTTTGCAGAGAGCAATGAAAACATACTTCAAGCTCAAGTATTCTAACGGAGGCGTACTGAACACAAAATTGAACTAGAACTTTTAAAATAACTTATATGATATCCAGCTAAAAAGAATTAGAAGCGCCTCTTTGTCCTGTGGAGCTAGGTACTGGTTCAAGAAGTTTGTTTATTTTCTCAAGGAACTGTCATTCTTTTTCTCTCTAAATTCAGCCCCATGTGTCTTATATTAATATATTTCAGACCTACGGATTCTTGATAATAGCTTTTTCTGGCATTTTGAATGCTGGAAAACCAA